GGATGAAGGTACTTAAAAAGAAACGCAACGGGTTAGTTTGGTTCATCTTTTTTAGCAAAGTACTAAGAAGTCTGTCTCAGGATGGAGATGCCCACTAATTATTCTAGAAAGAAGTAAGTGGAGTTTCTTCCTCCATTTTAATGGTGATTTAGACAACTGCAGTGGCAAGACAGGCTATAAACATGACTGTGAGTCCAGAGATCCAAACTTCACCACTGTCTTCCTCCAGAGCCCTGGGATAAATCTTGCCAAGATACCTGTTGGGCTCCTTACTGGACTCTGCAAAGGACTGAATTATGTCCCTTTCTCCTGACCCCCAATCATAGGTTGAAGCCTTAATCTCCAACATGACTATACTTGGTGGTGGAGCTTCTAGGGGGCAGTGAAAGTGGACTGAGGTTATAAGGGTAGAGCTGGATAGCTATACATGAAAGGTGAAAAGGAGAAAGAAGGCAGTATGTGCAAGCCAGGAAGAGAGCTGCTACCAGCAACTGAACCAACCAACACCTTAATCTAGGACTTCCGGTCTATAGAACCAAGAGAAGGAAATTAAAGCTACTCATTTCCTGGTACCTTCTTATGGCAGCTTTAGCCACATAATACAGCTTCCTTTACTTTTTTTTATTTTAGGGAAGAGTCTACAGGGTGTTCAGGTCTCACTACTAGATCAGATTTGTAGTGATCTGCTTGTTTACAGCCTCCCAAGAGCTGGGATTACAGGCTTGCGCCACCACGCCCAGTCTCAATTGCTGTCTCAGCTTGCCCCAGGGACGAGACTGGCAGGGCAGGCCCGGGATTGAACACCTGGCCCCTGTACCTACTTGCAGGTGCTTTAATCCACTGAGCTATTTGGCTGGTCCTCTTTTTTTTCCTTCTTCCTTTGCTTCTATTTGCACCCTAAAGTCCACTCCTTATACAATAGCCAGGCAGTCTTTTATCTATTTATGTTTTGCAGTACCGGGTATGAAACTCTGGACCTTGTGCTTGCCAAGCAGTGTTTATGCTACTGAGCTATCTCCCCAGCCCTAGGCAGTCTTTTAAAGTGATAAATTAGCTTGTATCCAATATCAAGTTGAAGACCATTAAAACTTTTATTCTGACTTATAAGACCCAAATAATATTGCCTTGCTTATCTCTCCTTATTCCTTGTCCTGTAATTATATTGTATACTTTTAAAATTTCTGCCTCAGGACCTTTTCAGGTACTGTATTTTCTTTTCTTTTCTTTTTTTTCCCCTGAAATTCTGTTCTCCAGATTGTTTTATGGCTCAGCTCAACTGGAGTCTCTTCAGAGAGATTTACCTCATTCACTGTATGTGACCTAACTATCATAGGTAGTCTTTATTTATATTTATATTTATGATAGCCCATTTTATATCCTTCATAGGCTTAACAGTATTTGAAAATATCTATTTGTATCCCCATCTATGTCTGCTGTTATGAACTAAATGCCTTGAGAACAGGATTCCTGCTGTCCTGTTAATGTCTATAGATCAAAGCTCAGGGCTTTGTAGGTGGTCGGAAAATTTCATCCATGGTGATGGGCCAGTGGTTGAAGATTGTATTCCTTCCTTCATATCTTTGCCTGTCAAAGGCCTGCTCACCCTTCATGACCTATCTACACCTTAGACCATTATGACTCCTCCCTCTAGACTCCACTTAGCACTCCATGATTCTGAAAGACCTCTGTGTTATGCTGTCCCTTGTCTGGTGTCTTGGTTACTTTTCTCTTGCTGCTGAGACAAAATATCCAATTCCCAAAATGAAGGGAGGAAAGGTTTATTTAGTTCACAGTTTGTAGAAGTCTCAGTCTATACTCAGCTGGCTCCCAGGAAGGGCGGTTTGGCAGAGGGGTGATTGTTCATGGTGGTGAAGACAGCAAAAGCAACAAGAGCAAAGGTGACAAAAGGGGAAAAGCAAGCCTCTTTTCCTCCCTTATGTGGTATGCAAGCTGTCTGCCCCACAGCAGGTGTAGCCCTCACACTCCCAATCCCAGCACCAGACAATGAACCAATCACAAACCCTAGGTTCAGCCACCTCCAAAGGGCTCCCCCCATGACCATAGGAAGCTTTGGGGGACATCAAGACACCAACCCTGGTGTCTGGATTCCGTGGGAACTGTGTAAACCTCCTCACACTGCTGTGATCTCCTGAGGATGTTACTTTTAGTTGTATTTCCTAGTCTCTTCCTAAACGTTATTCTGCGCAGAATACTATGTAGATAGGAGTTAGTGGTTGACCTCTTATATTGAATTCCATTTTGACTGCCATTCGTAGCATCAGCACAGAGCTTTTTCTCGTCCTCTGACATTGTCAGTGTAGAGATGTAGCTTTTAGGAGATTAGATTTCACACCTAGTGAATTCTCAAGAAGACAAGCAATTGTTAAGGCAAGAGACTGTTGAGTTCAGGCTATTGTCGAGCTCTGCTAAGTGTATATTCTCCGCAGCACCAAAGAAATTATGAAAGGATAAGTAGGCTGCTATAAAAGTTGCAAAATTCTCTGCTATCAATGAAATGTACCTTCTAATCTTCACTCAATTGCTCTTCTGAGCTAGGCCAGAACAATGTTCTAAGAATCTCTTTTACTAGAATAATTCCACCTAAGAATAGTAAGCATTAAATTCAAGATGGGCCTGGAAAGAAAATAACCCAACCTGACTCTCTCTACTAAGGGGGAAGAATCTGAGGCCTCTGGGGGGTTATATTCAACATCACAAGGCAGTCAGGGACAAATGTGGGACACCCATGCAGGCCCCCCGATCTTTGGTCACCGGTGCTTCCATTTCAAAGTTAGTCCCTCTGTCTCAGCCGCTCTTTTGATGTTGTCACATAACATGTTTTGATCTGCAAGCTGCTAGTTTTCAATCTTTTATGCACCCTGGCTGTGGAACTGGGACCTTCCTCTGTGGCTTGATTTCATGGGCACCTGGAAAGCAAGAGTTCCCCTTCTTCCTCCCTGTTCCAGTCTCCAAGTTTGACCTTTCACTGAAATTGCAACACTGAAGTCATCTACTGTGTGTTTGGACATCACCTGTCTTTAGACAAAGGCTGCAGCCTCCAGTGCCCGCAGGGCCCAGCGGGTGAATTTTGTCATGGGAGGAGAGCGAGGACAGGAGGACATAGGCCATGTCCGGAGGGGGGAAAGGAGCAGTCACTGTTCCACTGAAGCTCATGGGGGCCTTACTGTATGTGTTTTCAAGGGAAGCCAGAAAGGTGATTTTCTTTTTATTTAAATTCTTTTGAAGTTTAAAAGCTCTCCACAGATTTCAAAAATTAAAATTCTTTCTAGATAAAAACAAACCAAACTAAACCTCCATAAACTCGATTTGATCTTTCTCAGGTGAGTGAGAAGCCATCTGTAGTCTTTCCCATGGAGATTTGGAACTGGGGAGAGGATCAAAGAAATAAAAGGCTTCCTGGGGAGTGCATGCAGGGCAGCTCTGAGGGCCACAGGCAGGCCAGGAGTAGGGTGCAACCATGCACTGAGGTGTACATTTAAGGAAGTGTTCGTTCTCCAAGTAAGCCCTAAAATGGCATAGCCCAGAAAGTGAAGACCTCCTTAAATGCTGTTGTCCAGGTGGCTGGCTGGTTTTTCCCTGTGCTTGGTCCAGGGTATGGGAACAGGAAAGGGAGGGAAGAAGACCTGGAATGAGCAAGGGCAATTAGCATAGGTCAGGACAGATGGAGAAGAGCCTGAGGAGTCCGTGCACTGGCAGGAAGACCACCTGAGCCAGTTCTGCCAGCTGCATGATTCTTCTCCAACTTTCCTGCCTCACAGGGAGCTGTTGGGCACTGAGAGCCTCACTGTTTGCTTCCTGGGTATTGCCACACCCCCTGGAAGTCTCAACTCAGTCCTACCCCAAGTGACCTCCACGGAAAGTGTGAGAATGTCAGGAGCAGCAGTTGTTTTCAAACCCCAAACCAAGCAAGGGAAAGAGTTGTTGCTGCAGTGTCTGATTATAGGGCTATAATTCTCCTGACTATCCAGAAGTCCCCAGAGTTGCAGGGACCTTTGGAAGTGGCTAAGCCAGGGGTGTCAGCTAAGTGAGAGGCCCAGGAGCACAGCCTGGGCCTCTGGTTTCTCTGAGAGTCCTCAGGAGGAGGGCAGACTTGTTGCCCTTGAGGCACTGCCCTGGTTAATTCTGAGACAGAGGCTGGGCCTTGGAGGAAAAGAGCCTCCTGGCCTCTGGAGGGGAGCTTAGCAGGAGTCCAGGGGAGCAGGATTGCTCCTCCTGCTGCCTCTTTGGCTCTCCAGTCAAACGCCTGTGGTCTGAGCCCAGCGAAGGGGCAGCTGAGTTTGTTTTGGTGTTCAACTCAGGGAAGAGGGACATGATTTCAACATAGAAAAAATAAATGGTTTTCAAGAGAGAGAGAAAAGGCTTCCAGCGGGAGCCCTTGAAGGCTCTAACCCCGTCTGCTCCCTCCCAACGTCAAAGAATAAACGCCCGACAGGAGCCAATGGTTAGCAAGCTGCCTTGGGGAAATTAAAAAGCAACAGAGTGGGCGTGGCACCCGTGAGCCCAAGATGCCGTGAGGGTCCACAGGGCCTCAGCATGGGCTTCTCCAAGACCCCCCCTGCACATTACCTGGATCCTTGCTGGAACTACTCTGTTGCTGCTTGAGGGAGCTAGAAGGAGGAGAGACACTGGGTGACGGGAGAGCTGTGACAGCTGTGTACAGATGTTGGCTGGTGGGGCAGCTGTCATTGGCTAAGGGAGGTCACTGACCTTCCTGGGACTCCAGAATATATATTTAAGACCAGAAAACAGAGCTAAGGGAAACGTATTTTCCTGCCAACACAAGCTAAATAAATAAGTGAAAATAAAAATAAACAAAAAGTAAATAAAATGAAAGATCGGGCTTTCTGCTATGGGATCCCCAACCTCAGTCACCAACCTCAGTCACCTCTACGGGATCCCCAACTTTCATCACCTCTCGCCCATACCCCACTGGAAACTGTCCTTTCTCCCGGCGATGCTGTCTCATCAATCTGTCTCTTTCTTGCAAATTACTTATCAAAGTCTATAAATATCACGCCTGCTGCCTGATTGCTTGTTTACTTTCTGTTCTCGAGTCTGAGTGAGAAGCGTCATGAGGACAGAGGTCTCAGGGGCTGGCTCACCACTGCTCCTTCTGGGCCTAGCGCGGCTCCTGGAACCCAGTGGGAGTTCCGCTGATGGCTGTCCATTGGGAAAATGAAGACTGAATGAGTTCTCCGGGGGGAAATGAAATTTCCACAATTGGGAGGATTTAAGAAGTTGGATGGCCAGTAGGCGGGAAGCCAACCCAACTCCTGCGTTAGTTGAAGGTGAGCTAGAGGCTGTGACAAGAAAATCTGAACTATATTTATTATGGCTCACTCATAAAAGAGTTATTTTTGCTCATGTAAAGTCGTAGTTGGATGTTTCTGACAAGTAGATACCGCTGTTCTTGGAGGTGGATAGGAGACTTGGGTCCCTTTTATCTTGGGACTCTGTCACCTTCTAAGTGAGGCTTTTAGGTCATCATGCTTAACTGCATGGAGCAGTTTAGGAGAGAGGAGGGAACTGCAAGCTGGGCCTGGAAGAGGAGCGCACATACTCCCTAGGCCCACTGCTAATTACAAGGATTGGGTCACAGCCCAGGAGGAAGAGGGGACAAGTTTGGTTCATAACCCGCCAGGCTCTGCCATGCCTATGCTGGGCAGGAGGTGGGACCAGATGGCTTCTGGGAGCCTGTCCAATTCTCAGCTTTTCAGTTTGAAGATTTTGTTTCCCTTTTACAACAACTCAGCACTTAAAGAGATAAAAGATCCTCGTCACCTCTCTTTCTTCTGTAGCTTTGTGATGTTTTTCTTTTGCTCAAGAATTCTGTTATGTGTTTCTGGTGTATCATTAAGGACAGTGAGAACATTTGCTTAGGCAACCACAAAAATGCCCAGGGTGGACAGATGTGTCTCCCACTAATGCTTCCATCACTCCCTAGGTATGTGGCCTTGAGCACGTTGCCTAACCTTTCTGGCCCTCTGCTTTCTTTTCCAGATATAAGGAAAACAACAACAATACCTACCTCTTAACATTGTGAGGCTTAAAGGAGCAGGGGTATGTACTGCTTATGGTCCATTTATTGTAGGCCATTAGCATAAGTGCTTTATTTTCATCATCTTTTAAAAATTTCACAGCAAATCAATGGAGTAGATCTATTACTAGCCCTAGTTTCATAGAGGCAAATGCAGAATCACTGAGAGATTAAGCAGTTTGCCTAAAGCTATTCAGCTAATAGGTTGGGAATCAGGACTTAGAGGAAATCATCCAGCTCCAAAACCCATAAGGTGTGTAATAAATAGACAGTAGCAATCCTAAACGGGATGGTTTTTCTTTTGTTGTAATTTGTTAGAGACTGAACCAGTCCTAGGTTTACTTATAATATCAGTACTGGTTTGTGGAATGTCTCCCAGCCTCTAAATTGTCTTTCTGTATAGCTGTTAGTTTGCTAATTGCTTACAATAACTGCAAGGTAGTTTTTTCATTGCACCCAGTCTAAAAGGGTTAAAAAGGAACCCCACAAGGCATAAGTCACTGGCCAAGATCACAGAGCCAGAAAATAGTGGAGTTGGCTTTCAAACTCTGACTTTGATAAAGACATTGCTCTGGCCTCAGACTGGTGCCTGGCACATATTAAGCATGACATTAGTGCTTACTAAAAACTGAATCAAATACATGTCACACCCCGCTGACCCCCCTCAACAAATATTTCTCTAGCACACGCCACCATCTGTGGAGGGCGAGTGCTTGTGGCCCAGGCCTCGGGTCTTCTCTTGCTCCCTCTGCTGCTCTTTGTCCTCAGTGTCCTCAGGTTGGATCTTGGCTGGGCTGATGGGCTCTGAGGCAGCTTCCTGAGACTGGGACCTATTCTAGTCAAACATATTTGGCTGCTGCTCTTCCTGTTTTTCAGGCCTCTGCTTGCTGCAGTCCGATAGAATCATCTTCTCCAATGGTGTTAATTAACAGTGATCTTGTGTCCCAGCACTCACCTAGATGACTTATTTACCTAAAAATGGGGCTTCCATTGACCCAAAGGAATGGTTAATGGCAAGATTTCTGGCAATTCACAGGCCTCTGGGGGAGACATTTTTGGGCTTGAAGTCCCTCCACATAAAGAAGGGAAGGTTGAGTCTGTTTAGGGTTTTACCTGGAGTCCATCCTGACTGAGAGAAGTGAGACAGTGCTTCTCTTTGACTCTACCCCCTTTTATAAAAGCTTTTCCTTAATTTGTTTTACAAGATTCCTAACATTCTTTGTCAAGTTGAATTCAAAATTATTTCTAACTTGTGCTTTTCAGGGCCTAGATCCACAAACTCCTGAAGTCAAGTTGGGAAACATGTTCACTCCTGTTGTGTGTACCATGGAAGGTGGAGGGTGGCAGTTAGTGCGGTTTAAACAGTTCCTGCACCTGCTAGAGCCAGCCCTCCAGTAGCCTAGGAGCACAGCCACCCAGAAGAGGAAAGCTTTGAAATTTGTGTTTGGCCCTGGAGCTCTTGGCCACTGATGGGAGTGGCAGCTCTACAGATCTTCGGCCAGTTTCACTAAATCTCGGTTGTACATCAGACAGCTTCTAGGTGCTGAGGCAGCAAAGGTGAATGGGTCAGCTGTGGTCTCCTGTCTTCATTCCTTTGGGTTGCTGCTTTAGTTATGGTTCTTGTTGAGACAAGACACCTGGTATCCAAAGTTAAAAGCAGGAAATGTTTATTTAGCTCAGTTTGTGAAGGTTTTAGTCCATAACTGGATGACCCCAAGGCAGGGTGGCATGGCAGAAGAGAACAGTTCGTGGTGGGCAGAAGGCAGCAAAGCAAGCAAGGGAGCGAGCAAGCCCCTTTAGATCCCCTGGGTTGTATGCAGGCTACCAGGATAAGTCCAATTCATCAGTTGATGAATGGATTCAGTAGTTACCCACCCTTAATTGTAGCATTGCACCATGACTCAATCACACACTCTAGATCCAGCCACCTCTGAAAAAGCCTCACCTAAGCATGAGGCTTTGAGGGGACATCTAGACACAAACCATAGCAGTTTCTATAACAACAGTGTCAGATAAGCTGGGTAGCATATAAACCTTAAACATTTGTTTTTCACGGATCTGCAGGCTGGGAAACCCAAGATCTAGGTGCTGGCAGGTATGGTAGCTGGGGAGGGTCATAGCACCTTCTCTCTAGGTCTCCACATAATGGAAAGGACAAAGGAGCATGCTATTTTATAAGGGCACTAATCTCATTCATAAAGTCAGTGCCTTCATGACGTAATCTCCCAAATACACCCCTTATACTATCACTTTGAATGTTAGATTCTGGCATTGAAGTTTGAGGGTGGAACACACAAATATTCAGACCACAGCATTCATCCATGTCCTCAGAAAGATTCATGGCCTTCTCACATGCAAGTTATAGTTATTCCTTTCCAGTAGCCACAAATGTCCTAACTTGTTCCAACATTAATCATGAAGCCCAAAGTCTCATCTCAATGTTATCTAAGTCAGATAGTGGCTGAGAGCTAAGGTACAACTTGTCCTGAGGGAAACTGTCCTCCAGCCATGAGCCCATGAAATCAAACTTGTTATGTACTTCCAAAACACAGTGGTGGGATTGGCATATGATAGACATTCCCATTCTAATAAGAAAAACAGAAAGGAATAGGAGCAAGTGCCAAATCAGGCCCCAAACCCTCACGTCTGAGAGGAATCTTTGACGGTAGCTCCTGCCTTCTGGGCCCAGAGGCAGACACCTTGCTTCTGCAGCTTTGCTGGATGGGTCTAGGGTCCCATGTACTTGGGAAGACTTTGGCAAAGCTTTCTCATCTAGTGCCTAATTTTAGAGGGAAAGCTTTCAGTTTTTCCCATTTAATATGATGCTAGCAGTAGACTTTTTCTAAATGTCTTTCAGCAGATTAAGATAAAGTCCTGTAGATATTTTCTTCAGAGTTTGTATCGCGAATGGATGTTGGATATTGTCAAAAGCTTTTCTGCACTTGCTGCGATGATCATGTCATTTTCATTTTTGCTTCTGTTCATTACATTTAAATGTTCTCTTTACTGATTATGTATGTTGAAACATTCTTGTTTCTCTACTTGGTTATGATGTATGATCTTTTTTGATGATTTACTGCACTCTTGTTGATGATTTACCAACATCTTGTTGAGGAATTTTTCATCTATTGTCTCTTGGGCTTCATTATTTTGAATCTATATGTTTATATCTTTTAGTTATGTCTGTAGAATTTTCAGCATCATTTTTCATGTATTTGTTCTACTCTATTATTTCTTCACCTTCTAAGAATCTATTTGCATGTTAGAATCTTAATAGGATTTCACGGTTCAATGAGGGAGCATCTTTTTATTTTTTTACTTCTTTTAGCTTTACTAAAATATAAAACAAAATTTCATAATGGAAAATAATAAGAGCATAGCAATAGTTCAGGTATTGTGTATTGTTGTCTTCAAAGTAGTTATTCAGCATATGAGGTAAAAACTGAATAGGTTTTTGCAAAAAACGAAACAAGCCATAACTCAAAGCTTTCTTTTCAATGAACTAAGATAATCTAGTTTAATAAATGAAACTAACCTATGTAATAAAAATTTTTGAAACAACAGAATGTATAATTTAGAGAAGTATTTGAAGTTCTCCCTATTTATCTTCCTTCTGTTTTGCTCCTTGT